GGGTACGGGCAGGTAGGTAGGGGGATAGTAGGTTGGAGAGGTAGGAGGGAGCAAGGCCGTGAATGGCCTTGTAGGTGAGGATGAGGATCTTGAAATCAATCCTCTGGGGGATGGGGAGCCAGTGGAGGCGAGCGAGGGTGGGAGTGATGTGGTCCCGAAGCCTGGTGCGGGACAGTACACGAGCTGCAGAGTTCTGAATGACCTGCAGCTTGTGGAGGGAGGTGGCGGGAAGGCCGGCGAGGAGAGAGTTCCCATAGTCCAGCCTTGAGGTGACAAAGGCGTGAACCAGGGTTTCAGCAGCGTGAGGGGTGAGGTAGTGCCGTAGTCTGGCGATGTTCCGGAGGTGATGGAAGGCGGTGCCAGTTGTGGTGCGGATGTGAGGGAGAAAGGACAGCTCAGGGTCGAACAAAACGCCGAGGTTCCTGACTGGCTTTGAGAGGTGGAGAGTGCAGCCTTGGATGCTGATGGTGTCGGAGCCTGAGGTGCGGAGGCGCTGACGTGAGCCAATCAGGAGGGCCTCGGTTTTTCGCACGTTGAGCTGAAGAAAGTTGTCTCTCGTCCAGGACTCGATGTCGGACAGGCAGCTGTCAGGACATCGGTGGTCGTGGAGTTGAGAGTAGAGGAGGAAAGGTAGAGTTGGGTGTCATCCGCATACATGTGGAAGTTAACTCCATGTCTGCGGATGATGTCACCAAGGGGGAGCATATAGAGGGTGAAGAGGAGGGGACCGAGGACAGAGCCCTGAGGGACACCACATGAGACAGTGCGGGGGTGGAGGAGAAGCCATTTGTCGAGACAAAGTGAAGACGGTGAGAAAGGTACGACCTAAACCACTCAAGGACAGTGCCTTGAAGGTTGAGGTGGGAGGACAAGCGGTGGAGTAGGATAGCGTGGTCGACCGTATCGAATGCTGCCGATAGGTCGAGGAGGACGAGGAGGCAGAGGGAGCCCTGGTCACAGATGGTCAGGATATCATTGGTGACCTTGACCAGGGCAGTTTCTGTGCTATGGGCAGCACGGAAACCTGACTGAAGGGGTTCGAAAAGTGAATGGGTGGAAAGGAAAGAGCGCAGTTGGGAGGCGACAACTCTTTCCAGGACCTTGGAGAGAAAGGGGAGGTTGGAGATGGGCCGGTAGCTTGATAGCTGCGACGCATCAAGGGAGGGTTTTTTCAGGGTGGGCGTGATGGTGGCAGTTTTTAAGGGAATGGGGACAGAGCCAGAGGAGAGGGACAGGTTGACAATGTCGGTGATATGTGGGGCAAGAAAGTGGAGCTGGGAGATAAGGAGTGGAGTGGGGATGGGGTCAAGGGAGCAGGTGGTTGGTTTCAGGGATAGGATGAGTTTGGTGACAGAGGGTGGGGAAACGGGTACAAAAGTGAGTAGGGGAGGATGGGTAGCAGTCGGAGTGAGGGGGTGGGGGTTTGGTGGATGTTGGAGGGGAAGTGACCGCGGAGCGGATTCCCTTGATCTTGGATTCAAGGAAATCCAGCATCTCCTCGCAGTGAAGGTTGGAGGAGATGACCTGCGCGGGGTGGCGGGGGGGACGGAGGAGTCGGGTTGTGGTGGAAAACAGTAGCCTGGGGTTGTTCTTCGCCTACAGGATTATCCTGGAGTAGAAGGACGACTTGGACAGCACAACAGCTGACCCGAGCAAACAGTCTAACAAGCAATCTAATGAGGAGCTAACCAATTGGAATTTGGTATAAATAATACTTCACTTTTTGAGATTGAGCTTTGAGTTGTCTCTTAATATGGGAACTCGTGAAATGAGACCAGGCATTTGTCTGTTAAGCCTGCTTCCTTCATAGTGGAGTCCTGTAGCTCAGTGGTTAGAGCACTCGCTTTGCAAGTGAGAGACCTGAGTTCAATTCCAGGCAGAGGGCGAAACCTTGGGCAAGTTTCCTTACTCCACACGCCTAATAATAATCCCTCCAAAAAACAAAAACAATAATAAATTGGTCATTTTCAATCTACGACTGTTTGTGGACATTGCTGTGCGCAATTGGCTGCCGCGTTCGCCCACAAATATACAGTCAATTCACTTTACAGTCTATTCTGTGAAGCGCTTTGGGACGTCCTCCCGACGTGAAAAGCGCTATATCAAATGCAAGGATTATTATTATTATTATTATTATAGATGTAACAAAAGATTCACAAGAGTCCATCTGCCCATTTGATTAATTGGTGCAGATCTTCTTATATTACTTTTTCATTGTGGTTCTGGAAGCTCAAATTATGACAGCCAACTGACGTGTTGCCACATTCTGAGTTTTCATTTACATTTCCAGAGAGCGTTAGTGGAAACATCTAACATTATTGGGTAAATTATGTGATGATATTAAATATTGTTCAAAACCATTTGAAACTTTGCAAATTACAATTCTTAAATAATGGTATCAAAGGCTGGGAAATACACTTCAATTCAGTGCCGGGAAAACCTTTGTTTCATTGTGATTTGCTTCCAGAGACAGACACAACCTCATAAAGCAGTATTAAATTCTATTTATCCTCACTGTATTCATCTCCTGTTCACGTAACTTATCAATATCAGCAAATTTTAATTAGGCTAATGTCGAGAAGTAATTCATTGTCTCTGCTGTGCCTGCAAACTTTAATTGAAAACTTAGCAAATGATCAATAATCACCCAAATCCTTTTCCTTTCCCAATTTTTCTAATAGATATCCCTTCATTGTGTACACATGACTCGTATTTCCTTTCACAATATGCATTATCTTGCCTATCTATATTGAATTCTGTTTATCATTCCTTACCAATTTGCTTAATTGCTGCAGAACTCTTTGAATGCTGTTTGTAGTAATAATAATAATAATCCTTGCATTTGATATAGTCCTTATCATGTCTCCCAGATGTCTCAAAGTGCTTCACAGAATATACTGTAAAGTGAATTGACTATGTTTTGTGGGCGAAACATAGCAGCCAATTGTGCACAGCAGTGTTCCACAAACAGTTGTGGGTTGAGTGACAAAATTATCATTATTTTTTTTTGAAGAGACTATTACCCCCGGAAAAGTAATCTGCCAATCGACTAACAACTTTTATCTTCCTTTCTTTTGACACGGGCCCACATACTTGACATTATTGGGAAATATTACCATATTACAAGTGTTCTCTGGATCGGTTATAAACAGTGTGAACAGCAGGACTCTAAGATCAGTCCTCCTTCAAGCTCCCCCCATGGAGCGTTTTCCATTTAGCATCTTTTTCTGCTTTATATTTCTAAGCTAGCTTTCAATCCAGCCGTCTAAATTGCCATTAATTCCATAAGCCTGTTCCATTAACCTTTAAAAGCCTTGTATGTGAAAATTGTCAACAGCCTTCTGGAAAATCAAAGTAAATTATTTTTCAGTTACCTCCTCGAAGAATTCCAGTCGCTTTGTGAGGCATGAACTATTTATTTAAAATCCACACTAACTACTTATCGTCTCTGTGTTCATTAGATGAGCATTTATGGCATTTTCCCTGCAAGACATGAGGGTATCTGGTCTACAATTTTAACCATCACATCTCATTCCTTTTGGATAAGATTTGTAAATCTCAATTCTTCATATATAGCTGCCAAATTAATTCTCTGCGTTGAGTTATTTGATCCAAGGCAGATCAGTGCTGGGATGCTGTCATTGGCCTCAGTGTCCCCATGCAGAGAAAGATCAGCCTAAATCCTTTTTTTCTAATCACTATCCAGTGTCCCTCGTGTGGATTTCAGATGAGAACAGATCATTCTCGCCTGTGATGTTTTCAGGTCAAACAACCTGCTTTTGGTGATGCATGAACTATGCCCCTTTGGGTGAGTTATTGGAAGAGTGCTGGCACCCTCCGTACCATACCACAACAGTGAGTCATTGCTTTAAGTGAAAAAGATAAGATGGGAAAATTAAACACAAGGCATGTTTGCTGTGATTTTTTCCCTCCCATGTGGCCATGAGCAGCACTAGCAACATGTTGAACCTGCTGATAATGATAAATATACCAACAAGAATGAACCGTTCAGTCCATTGGTGCCTCCTCTGCAAAGATGGGTTTCCGCCAGATTTCTCTTATTTACTGACCCCCTGCTGGCAGTACTGCCAGTTTTGACTAGTCACTATACTGTAAACATATATAGGTTTGTAAATGCATACCAGATTTATCATCAGCAGAATCACTAACCTAGCTGTGTGTAGAAAGAGGATGTTACGCAGTTAATGAGGAAAGTTATGAGTCGGCTCAGCACAAGCTGAACCAACCTGGAAGCTTGCTGGTCAGTACAGCAAGTTTCATACTGGGCACTGGGATTACTAACTGAATCATCAGCTGTGGGCAGGAATTTGTAACTGGAGGGGAATTTTAGCTGGATAGACCGCAGAGCCAATGAGTTATAATAATAATCCTTGCATTTGATATAGCGCTTTTCACATCTTCTAGACTTCTCAAAGTGTTTCACAGAATATACTGTAAAGTGAATTGACTGTATATTTGTGGGTGAAACGTGGCAGCCAATTGTGCACAGCAGTGTCCCACAAACAGTCGGGGGTTGAATATGACCAATTATTGTTTTCGTTTTTTTGGAGGGATTATTATTAGGCGTGTGGTGTAAGGAAACTTGCCCATGGTTTCGCCCTCCCTGGAATTGAACCCAGGTGTCTCACTTGGAAGGCGAGTGCTCTAACCACTGAGCTACAGGACTCCACAACTAAACTTGAACTAAATTTGAGCCCAAGACGCTTCTAGCGCTATCAGGATACAGGCTGTGATATCTCATTTTTTAAATGGTCTGGTTTCTGAACTGTTTTCTGGAGTTGGTACTGCTGTCATAATGATGTGTTGTTTGTAGGTTAATAAGGCTAAAGCTTTTTTGCACTGAGTCTGGGTAAACTTATCTCTCAATCTTAGATCTTAGGTCCCTGCCAAACCTTGTCTTCTCCTCACTAAGAATGATTGACAAAGTGATTACCCATCAGTTACTGAATTTGAACCATTTGCTTTTGTCTGTATTCCAGGGTGCAAAAATTCTTTGGAAGACTCTTTCAAGAAAGCTAATTCAAACCCGTCTACCTATCTGTCTGCAGGAAAGCTTTCTTCAATGCTGAATGGCAGAGAAGAGATTTATGCCAATTGTATGGTGGTAGATAAGGTAAGACCTGCTGAAATCGTTGTGCCCTATTTCCAAAGGAAGGTCCTAAATTGCTAAATAATTAAGTTACAATGACTAGGTTACATTTACATGTTATATTTTCATGCAAAAGGTAGTGTAAATCTGAGACTCTCTCTGCCAAAAGGCTGTAGATGCTGGATCCATTCAAATTTTCAAGACTGAGGTGGATAGATTTTTATTAGGTAAGGGCATCAAGGGAAATGGGGCAAGGGTAAGTATTTGGAGTTCAGCCATGAACTAATAGAATGTTGGAACAGGCTCGAGGGGCTGAATGGCCTACTCCTGTTCCTATGGTTACACTTGTATGGCAATTTTCATGTTGAATAATGTCTTGAAGCATTTCACAGGGATGGTATGAGCAAGGTGGGAGGAAGGTCAGGAGGGAGGTGACTGAAAGCATGGTCAGAGAGGTAGGTTTTTAGGAGGGTCCTGAAAGCAGAAAAGCAGACTGCAAGACTGAGAGATTTTGGCAAGGAATTCCCCGGAGCAGAGACGTATTGGGTAAAAGCTCAGCCACCGTTGATGAAATAGGAGATCCGAGGACATGGAGTCTGAGTTTCTGGGTGGAGGGAGGTTAGCTCACAGTTCACATTAGTTCACAGAAGGTCTATCTTGAGATGCATCTGAAGAGTTGAGGATCAGTTATTGACAATATTGGAAATTGGTCCGCGTTAAGTTGTGTTACAGAATGAACTTCACTTTTAGTTCTTGCATTTGTTGCTATTAATGTATTAATGGCATCTCCATTTCTTCTTAAACTCTTAGGTTGATGAAGGAGGTATAAAGTATAGCGTTAATGATGTCACAACTGGAAGTACCAGTACTGATCATGAATCATATGAAATCGCATCTGAGGACCACAATGACCAGGCTTGCAATTCTAAATTTGAGGAAACAAATTTATTTGCGTCAGAGGACCAGGAATGTCAGCAAAGTATTGGTGAATGTTTTGAGGAGAAGGTAGATACCACAATTCATGACGAGGACCAGGATCATTTTGTGGAATCCATTTCTGATTTGTCTTCACCTGAAAATATTTATTGCCGATCATTATTACCGCCCAGACAACATGTCTCTGTCAAACTGGAAAGTCATTCAATGAACATCAGTCATAAGCAAAGGTATGATTTTGTTTGTGGTATATCTCATTGCATTTGGATATCTTTGACCAATGCTTTTACTTATTTGTAATAATCCTTGCATTTGATTTATCGCTTTTCATGTCAGGAGGACGTCTCAAAGTGTTTTGCAGGATTTATTGAAAGTGTAGTGACTGTATTTTGTATCGGTAATTTGATACATTAATCGTGATGTGGTGACTGTTTTCTAGTTTAAAATATTTATTTTGTGCACAGCCTGTCATTATTCTTGATTTACTTTTTTAATGTAATACACAAATTGCATTTTATCCCACACAAGACTCTGTGAGACCATTACCACATCCTTGCCAAGCTGCACTGACTGCCTAGTTATTTAATAGAACCATAGAAGCAGTTCTATTCTATTCTGATAAATGCCATTCAGACCATTTCTCCCCATGGGTGTTTGTTCCTCCAAAAAGATGAAGTCGTTCATCCATATGCTCTAACACTGTTCCTTTGTATATATTTGTCCAATTCTATTTTAAATATCCCTATTTGACTCTACTCTAACAGGTAACCCTAACAAATCATTACCAATATCCCCTGGGAGAAGTTCTTCTGAATCTCTCTTTTCACACCCTTAGCCACCATCTTCCCCACTCAATAATTTTTTAAAAGATTCTTATTGTTCCTTTCAAATGCCTTCACTGCCTTGTCTCTGCAGTCCCAATGGCCACTCCCTCCAGTCTACACTCTCTGCTCTGGCAACTCAAGCCTGCTTCATATAATAATCCTTACATTTGGGATTGCACCTTTCATGTCAGGAGAACATCTTAAGGTGCTTCATAGATTATACTATAAAGTGGAGGGACTGTGTGATTTATGCGCACAGCAATGTCTCATAAACAGCTATGAAGTGAATTACAATTTTATTGGGGGGTTGTTGGACAGGACATCGCTACCTGCTGTGTACATAATCAGTGGATGAGCTTTCAGCCACTTTACCCTTCTTACTGTAACTCTCTTTCTCTAAATCTCCACATCTTTCCCTCTTCCTCTATAGTCAGTTAGAATAGTTAGAATCTATCTAAAATCCTATAATAATAATAATATCTCATTTACTGCACCTTTCTCCCGTCTGCCTCTCACCTCTCCCACCGTGTTCGGATACCCACTGCAAAGGGCATTGAAACCTTCTTGCTATGAAAGTGAATCAGTTGTATTTTACAGTGGTAGCTTATTATCTTCCTGTGATAACTTTTTAATATTACATTTAGTAAGAATCAATTGTGATTGTACAGTACAACAGTACTGGTTGAGCCCTATAGTTTGGCTTAGTCAAAATGGGAATAGATGCATTCCCGTTTTCATAATAATAATAAGAAGAAGAATCCTTGCATTTGATATAGAGGTATATCATAACATTTATGTGTCTCACAAAGAGCTTCACAGAATATATTATAAAGTGAATTGACTTTGTGGATGAAATGTGGCAGCCAAGAACATCGTAAATTTATTGGATGGAGGAGTGTGGGGGTAGTTCATTTCTTAGAGGAAAATCACTTTGGATTCCAGTATTTTATCACTATCAAGTGGTGCCTGCAGTAATATGTAACTTTATGTCAGGGCAGCTTTGGGCTCATGTTTAATGGTTTCTTCCACCCCCTGCTCACCCTTCAAGAATAGTTGAATAATTATCTGGCCACTTGGCCTGAGCTGCTCGAAGGTTTCATTGAGTCATTAATTGATACCCCAGTATGAGTCAACACCTCCAGGAGAGCAGAGGAGAGGTAAAGAAAAAAAGAAAATCAGACCATTTATGGGAAAACAATATTTTACAATTCCATACTTGTTTCAACACTTGTTGAGGGCAAATGTCACCACGTGGGGAAGCTGATTTGAAGGCCTTGTCACCAAGCCAGCCATTATCAAGTTGATAGCAAAAGCAAACCTGTGAAGTGATATGATGGCTGAAGCACCCCAGATTAATGGTTACATCTTTACTTATGTTAATTTAGTACAGTAAAACTCTCATAGTCTGCTGTGTATAAATTGTATAATCACCTAAGTTAAACATCTGCCCAAGTCCTGTTCAAGAGCTTATATTACAATACAATACAAAATGACATTTGTATAGTGCCTCTCACGTCGGGAGAACGTCCCAAGGCGCTGGACAGTGAAGGATTTGGACCCGAGCTGGGGAGGGGGGAAGGTAGGAGGGTGGCCAAAGGCTCGGTCGAAGAGGAGGATTTTGAGACGTGCCTTGAAGGAGGCAAGCGAGGGAGCGAGGCGAAGGGAATGTGGGATGGATTTTCAAAGGGTGGGGCCATAAAGGCTGAAGTCCTGGCCACCATTGGTGGAGCGGGCCGCGTGAGGGGATGTGGAACAGGCCAAAGCCTGCTGAGCAGAGGGAGTGGACAGGTTGATCTGAGGTCAGCAGGTCGCAGAGGTAGGAAGGAGCAAGGCCGTGGAGGGCCTTGAAGGCGAGGACAAAGATTTTGAACTCTATCCTCTGAGGTATGGGAAGCCATGGGAGCCAGGCAAAGATGGGGGTGATGGGGTCATGGAGCCTGGTGCGGGAGAGGTCATGAGCTGTAAAGTTCTGGATTATCTGCAGCTTGTGGAGGGAAGAGTTTGGAAGAGCCGACAAGCAGGGAGTTGGCGTAGTCGAGCCTAGATGTGATAAATGCATGGATGAGGGTTTTAGCAGCCTGAGGGGAGAGGCAGTGACGGAGCCGGGTGATGTTGCGGAGGTGGGGAAAGGCAGAGCGGGCCATGGGATAGATGTGGGGTAGAAAGGACAGTTGAGGGTCAAACAGGATGCCAAGATTCTGGACTGGCTCAGTGAGGTGGAGTGTGCACATATGCAAATTTGACATAACGCATACTCTGCATAAGTCATATTGAATGTACGGTCCCAACTGATGCAACTTATGTGAAGTTTACTGTATTCTCAAAATCTCAGTGATCGCCACTATGCTAGTTTCCTAACTCACTGCCTAAACAATAGTGCAGGTACCATGTTCGTGCTATGTACTCGAGATTTCCTTGTTCTTGCCCCAGTTGTTAGTTGCACAAGCTCCACTTGTATTAGGTTAGTGAAGCTGGCTTATTAGGGAGAGCTATTAATCCTGCTATTAGAATATATTTGGCCTAATTAATTAATACGACAATATTTGGGTTTGAAGTAAAGGATTTGAGCTTAGCATAACTGGGTAGCTGAGGACAATAACAACTTACATTTATATAATGCTGTTCAGGCAAGGTACAAGGGCATTTAACAGTGGCGGAGCCTGACGCCGAGCTGGGGGAGGGGGGAGGGGACTGTAGGCATGGTGAAAGAGGAAGGTTTCCAGGTGTGATCTGAAAATGGGGAAGGAGAGAGCAAGGTGAAGAGATTGAGGGAGAGAGTTCCGCGATTCAGTGATTTGAATATTTAGCTTATCCAGTTTTATTTTGCCATGATCAAGTGTTGAGGAGGCAAATTCTATTGAAATTCTTTTACAAGAAACAACTTCCTTCAGTTATTGCATGGTTTGGTGTAATGGCGGTATGATTGGAATCTAAACATGACAGCATGCTTCAATCACTAAGATTAGTCAGTGAAGCTTAGAAATCACTGCATGGTGTACTTTAGCCTCAGGAGTGACTAGATTCTAAAGTTCAACGGTATTTCCATACTTCAATCACCACATTCATTGCTCCAAAAAGGTCATCTTCCACCTCCCCCACTCCATTTACTCATTGTACCATTAGCTTCTCCAGCCATAACAGTCTGCATGTCAGTCAACCTTGCTGTCTAGCCTGATATGCTGCCATAAGACTTGCCCTTCACAAGATCAATAGTAAAGTCTTTTAAATGCATTTATTTCAGCATCTTTAGAACTAGACAGGAAGAGATCAATGGGCAATATCATTAACTAAGTATAATACAATTCAGTACAATATAGGCACCACATTTAATTGACTGCTTAATAGTAGATGGTAGTCAATCTTGTAAAACATAATGAAACAATGTTGTTACATGATGAATACATTTTCTTCTCCAAGCTGACTTTCATATAGCAGAATGGATGTTTTAGTAGTTCAGTTGAGCTATGAATTCGATGAGTTTCAGTCAGTTGAATTAAAACTGCAACTTCACTGCCCTTTATCATTAATTTCTTTGTTTGTTTCTCTCTCTCTATCTCTGAGAACAACAACAACAAAATTAAGTTTATAGAGCGCCTTTCACATTGGGAGGACATCCCAAAGCGCTGGACAGTCAGGGTTCGGGACCCGAGCATGGGGGAGGGGTGGCATTCTTGCGTAGAAAGCTGTGTAGACAAGTGTGAATACTCAGGGAAGGAAACTCTGAGTAAGTATAAGCAGTGGGGAGAACTGACCAGTGGAGTAACTGGGTCCCTTTTTACTTCAAAATATGTGCTTTTTCATTAATAGGCTGCCTCTATGGGACTCAGAGGCATCCTTTTAAGCAGTACAACACAAGAATAGCTCCGAGTAAGAGTCTCACCTGCCAGCAGGTACCCCGAGAATCAATGTACTTGACAGAAACCTTTGAATTAATAAAACGTACAGAAATGAATTTGGAACCTTACAGAGCAGCCTGGCAATTAGAGAGAGTTCAAAATGTGGCTGTAAGCACAGTCGAAGAGGAAGATTTTCAGGTGGGACTTAAAAAAGGGGAAAGAGGGGGCAAGGCGGAGGGATTGAAGGAGAGTGTTTCAGAGTTTTGGGGCATAGTGGCTGAAAGCGCGACCTCTGATGGTGGGACTAATATTCGTCATGTAAATGAATTAGTAAGAATTCATGTGACACTGCTTTGACCATTGACTGCTTTTCAGTAATTGTTTTTGTTTGCAGTTTCAACTTTGATGGCCTTGATGCAGACAGCGAAGGAGAGGAGGTTTCAGACAGATCTCAAGGGTCGTGCACTCCAAGGTCTCCAAATTCGGTGGCTGTATTTGCGAGTAGTGGAGATGAATTGGACTCTTCTGAGACCCTCCATGAATCTGAGATGAAGACCAGGGGCCATGACTCCACGATTTCAATCAGAAATGTACCACCAAAGGTATTGATATTAAATGTTGTTAGTTAGGAGTTAAACCAACACAATTGTTTAATTTTAATAACCTCAAGTAAGAATTCCACTGGAACAGGTTCTTATGTTCTTATCTATTTCTTATCTGCTCCAAAAATAACCTTGGAGCTCATAGGAACATTAAACAATCCAATCTTAATTCAGATATAATATTTGAAAACATTTAAAATAAAACAAAACAATAATAACAATTTTATTATTGCCACAATGTATTAATGACATCTTTTAGCAAGGTTGTAGCAATAGTTTTAAGTTAGGAGTAGATGACTGCAGGAATTTTGGGAGGGGCAGCCGGGTGTCTGACACCAGCAGAAACCTATCACTATGCTTAAGGGTATACAAACCAATAACAACAACAACAAAATTATATTTGTATAGTGCCTTTCACGTCGGGTGGACGTCCCAAGGCGCTGGACAGTCAGAGTTATGGACCCGAGCTGAGGGGAGGATGGAGGCAAGGGGGGGAAGCAGGGAGATCAAAAGCACGGTCAAAGAGGAGGGTCTCAAGGTAGATCTTGAAGGTGGCGAGGGAGGGGGTGAAATGGAGGGACTGGGGGATGGAGTTCCAGAGGGTGGGTGCAGAGTGGCGGAAGGCCCGCCCGCTGATAGTGGGGCGAGCAAGGCAGGGGACGTGAAACAGGCTGGAGCCCACTGAGCAGAGAGAGCGGACAGGGTAGTAGGGGGTAGGAAGACGGACAGGTAAGGGGGAGCAAGACCGTGGAGGGCTGAGAGACCAAACTGAGAATTACATGCATTCTACCTAAACATGGAAATTCCAGAGAAAGATTGTTGGAAAGGATTGTGCACTCTCTCTCCCAGGAGGGATGCATACTGATTACCTAATCCCCCTCCCCCATGAAAGACTGTAGGAACGTGCAGTTGATTCATTTGGCTTGGAAGTTATGAGCCTGTTATATCAAGATGCTGAATTTGATGTACTGTTTCTGTTGTCCAATCTGAAGGAGTCGGAAGATACTGGGATTCGACTTCGATCATACTCCCTTTCTTCACCTAAAGGTTCGCAAAGCAAATCTCGATTTGCAAGAGATTTTAACGTACCCGATTCCACAAGTGAAGGTTAGTCCCAATCAGAGTTGAGTAGATCTGATTAGAAATGCGAAACACCATTGCTCTAACAGAAAGAATAATATTCTGCAACTGTCATATATACTTTGTGCCATCACCTGCAAAGCTTCTCCATATCTTTGGCTATAATGTACTTTTATCATTTTACTTCTAACAAATATTTCATGTGAAAATGCGAACTCAAAGCTGAAGCTGGAATCTATCCACATTGCTGTATTATTATTATTGTTGAATTAGTTGAGTGTTCTACATTGTTTTCTGAGACTAGTTTCTAGCATCTTAAAAGTGGTAATTGTATCACATGCTGAATTACTCTGAACAGCTTGGTGGTTAGAGTGCTCAATTGACCAGTCAGATTTTATTAGTATTAGGAACTGTGAGTTACAAGCTGCCTGTCACTTGAATCTGCCTTCTTCACTGCGTGAGCTTTGCCAATTCTTGTTGCATTCCACCTCCTTTCGCCTTGCAGCTTACAGAGGAAGGAGAAACTGAGATTGCCTGCCTCACACATCTACTGATGTGCCTCCTCTCAGCTGAGTTAGAAGTGTTACCCATGGCTTTAGAGAGTAGCAGTTTGAATATAATATATTTATCGTAAAGAGTGAACAAATATCTAATTGCAAAAAGGCTCCAAAACAAATTATTTTTCCGAAAAAGAACTATTTCAGTTAAAAATGTTTGCAAATTCATTTTGTAAACTCATACTGTTTATTTTTTTAAAAAGCAATGCCATGTACAAAATGAGTGAATAATACCCTATCGTCAGTGTTAGCCTTTCATACCAAACCACCTCATTTAAAAATGACTTCTTGTATCCATCAGTTATGTAATACATACAACTCATCTGCTTATTTCACATGGCAACATGCACACGGTGAGGTCAGTTCTTTTGGGTTAGTAGCCTTCCAAAAATCCGATAATTAAATTGATGATTTATTTTTACAAGTAGAGTTGGATTGACAGCAATAAGTAACACAAATAGAAAATGGTCATAAACCACTTGAAGTTTACTCTTGATATTTGACATATTTGTGGAGTCCTGTAGCTCAGTGGTTAGAGCACTCGCTTTGCAAGCGAGAGACCTGAGTTCAATTCCCGGCAGGGCGAAACCTTGGGCACGTTTCCTTACCCCACACACCTAATAATAATCCCTCCAAAACCCCAAACAATAATAAATTCATCATTTTCAATCTACGACTGTTTGTGGGACATTGCTATGCGCAATTGGCTGCCGCGTTCGCCCACAAATATACAGTCAATTCACGTTACAGTGTGTTCTGTGAAGCGCTTTGGGACGTCCTCCCGACGTGAAAAGCGCTATATCAAATGCAAGGATTATTATTATTATTATATTTGGCCCTTCACTCCTTTTCCTTTGTAATTATCTTCTTACTCTATTATTCTCTATGTATGAATCTGTACCTTGTATATCTGGGATATTAGGCAAATCAGCCAATGACCGCCCGACTAGATTATTTTTTCACATTGATGAGTCTGTACCTGCTCTGTAGATGGTGTTTTCAGCAGCGGACGTTCGCTCCTTCAAGCTCTTTCACTGTCTAAATCGGTGTGTCTGCTGCACCACAGTAGTAAGTACCACTCAGACCATCAGATAAAGCCATCACTCTTCTGTATGCATGCAACTGGCCTGCTGTTGTGTCAGTGGCATTGTGGCATGCTGCTACTAGGTCTTATTCATATTAACTGTCATGATTTAGGTTTGGAATCAAAATACGTCTGTCTCGAAATGCAGTGTATTTAATGTGCTTCTCATTCATGTTTTCAATTGTCATGTCTATTTTGAAGCTTGGTGCTTGCTTTTACATGATTGTTTCTATGTAAATCAACCTTAACACTCAGAGCAACCTTACAGCATGTTGGTTGAGGTGCTCCCGTCACAACTGTATTGTGTATGGTGAGTAGTTTGATATCTATTAATGCTCCAGCCCACTTGCAATGAAAATTCATAGAAACCCAGAATATTACAGCACAGAAAGAATCTCTTTTGTCCTTCGCTTCAAGTCTGTGTTGGCATATTTCTCCACCAAGACACATCTCACTCTTCCTGCTCGCTCCCTACACCTTTTATCTTTTTCAAGCATCTATTTAATTCCCTTTTAAAAAGAATTGATGGATTTTGCTCCAACAATGATCATCCAGTTGATTGAATGCAGGAGTGAGTATTTGTCTCTCTGTGTTGTAAAAGGGAATGCCGAATCCCTTTTTTAAAAAAAAATGTTTCCTAGTCATACTTCAATAATGCCTGTTATGTGAAATTTGTTGGTGCTGTTATGTCCTAGGTAGTGTTGTGATCCTTAAAGCCACATGGTTGCGGTTGCTTCTCATAATATGAGCCTTACTTTAATCTTCTGCACTGTCCTTACCTGTGCCATTTACAAAATTATTAAAAGCAGCATGGCAGCACAGGCCTTTGGAGCATGTACACGTTGCGGCAAAGATTTCAGTCTCTCATTCTCCTGATCTGAACCACACTGCTGTGGGCAGGTGTTAAGTGACTGCTTCCCTCCTCACCCAGAAAGAGAGCAGCAAAACTGGAGTAAAAGGGAACAGGCCAAGGCTAGGTTGTCCACTGTCTGTTTTCTCACCTTGAAGAGATACACCCAGGATAGAAACTAGACAGTCAACTTTCCATGGACCTTGATATTTAGGGGATTCGAGCAATCCAGCAGTTGGAATGAGTTGCTTTAATCTCACCAAATAAAAATGTATTTATTAAACACATATGCAAAACCAGTTCATTCAAACCAGTTTTGCATATGGGAGAAATGAATATAAATACTAGTTACTAATTTTAGATATTTTCCCACATCAGAGTCACTCCACTTTATTGTATATCTCTTGAAGTACTTTGAGACATCCTTCCGACCACGAAAGGCGCAATATCAAATGTAAGATTATTATTTCACTCAAACAAACATGTCCTGTTATGTTAAACTCTTAGCTTGGGTTCACTAATCAGACTGATTCTTGAGATGAGATAATTACCTCAAAGTTTATCTTTTAGGAAAGGCTTTTCCAACTTGTTTAGAATGTTCATTCAAATGACTATCAAACTGTCCTTCACAACTTGTGAGGAACATGCTTTGCTTCTTATCTGCTCCATTGAACAGTTGGAAGTCCTTTCTGGATGTGAATCGAAGCTATTGGTAAATATTAGACCGTTTTGAATACTGGAGTCTCAGTGCAGATAATGTTGAATTCTTGCAGTCTTCCAAGTAAGTAGAAAGTGATAGACTGTATCTTCAAGACCAATTTCAGATTTTGGAATCAATTGAAATCAAGCTCCAAAATCAAATATTTGGAATACCACATGCTGCAGCAGCCTGATAAACACCAGTGTAGTCCACATGTATTATTTGTAGCAAACCTCTTTGGAAAGATTCTCTTCCAACTGGATTTTCAAAGAAATCAACCACAGGAAGGCAACCTTGTATTCTACCTACTTTCTGCCGTTGTAAGTTGTTGTTATGTCATCTTGTTTCAGAACAGCGAGCCTTCAGTCAAACTGAACACCCAAAAGAGAAAAGGTACTGTGAAACGCAAAGGTACTGTGAAATGATTACTTTGAAATGAGCTGCATGCAAAATCTTTAATTGAGCTGAGGATGCATGAAATATTAACAAAACTGACTAAGTTGAAACAATGTAAATAAATTGCAGGCTTCCATAGATGTTTTGTTTCCAGATGTAAGTAGGCACTAGATTTTGAAGAAACTAGATTGATGTCTATTTGTATAGGAACCTGTCTTCCAATTTATGTTGGCCTTGTTTGAAGTCAGTTTTGTGAATCTCTAAATTAAAGTGTGCATACATAAATACCTTCTTGTGCTTTTACACACACACACACACACACACGTATGCACGTATGTCCATAGGTTTTCCATAAAAATTCAAATGCTCATTTTTCCACTTAACGTCCCATCACCATTGTGAATCTACCATGATGCCAACCTTTCCACCATTTGATGGCTAATTTAGTGCTCAAGATTGATTTCTCCTAAATTTGTTTTAAATAAATCGCACCAGTTGATCAATTGCTCAGTTTAGCGAAAAATATGAAACAAATTTGATCTGCCTAGCAAATATGGAGCTCACTGTGGTTTGCAACCACAGCCAGTGTACTACTTTTAAGAACAAAAGGAAGCATGGAAAATAAAAAGATTGTTTGATGGCATCAAACCTGCTCCTCCTTTAGACCATGTACAGTTTGTCTCAACACGGGCTCTTCCCAATTTAATTAATCTCCACAAAGAATATTCTCCTCGATAAACAGAGAGAAATACATCTTTGAATCTAATTTTACAACCAATATCATTAAATCTTTTCCACGGAAGCCATTTTCTATTGTCCCAGTGACATAGGAACCATTGTTAATGAAGTGAGTGTTTGGTCCAGTTCGAATCCAGAAAATAATTTCCTTTTTAAAAAAACACAGGTAATTGACACATCACTACCTGCTTCTCAGGGAGTCTATCCACATTTCTGATATCTGGGAATGTGTGTGTATGTGTGCGCGTGAGGAGGGGTGGCGGGGGGGAGAGTGAAGTCTTCTAATCGATGAGTCTTATTGAAGGTTGGTATTTTGTACCCATGTCCTCAGATACTTCAATCACACATTCAGTTACAAATATGTTTTACTACTATGATTTTAAAGACCTGAAACAGGTCTCCTCTCAATCTTCTTTTTGCCATGAAAATTACTTCACTAAGTTTCTCATCACAAACTTGAGCCAAACTCTTGTGACTTTTTCTGAATCCTCTCCAATGCACCAGCATTGAAGGTGAGCTGCTCATAATTCCACACATTAATATACATTTGTCAATACCCAGAGTTAAAATAATCGGTTTTGATTAGAATTAAATAATTTCACTCATTCTTAATTCCTCTTTGAGAGCAGTTCCAGTTGAAAACAACTTAAAAATTAACTAGACACTTTTAGTGATAGATCAATAATATTCAAATTGTTTTGCTTTTCCACCATTGCTGCTGGTCACTTATTCATTGTGTACGTGTTTTATGCAGCCTGTCGAAGTATGCATGCATCATGCTTTTCTGTTTCAATGTGCATTACCTTCAAACATTATAATCCATTTCTCATCTATTTAGTTCCTTTGGTTCCTTTGAAATCTATTTAGTTCCTTGGGTTCCTTTGAAATCCTATCAAAGCTCCCTTGTACAGTGGTCATCTGTTTGTATACTGTAGCTTGGTGTCATGAGCAAATATCTAACATCGTAGATGACCTCTCCTTTAAGGTTAAACAGTGTAAACAGCATTCTGATTGTGCGACTGTATGTACCTCATAATAAATTTGATTACTGTGGGCCAGTCTAACTTTAGTAGGCGAGTCATCTCAGAGCCATTTTAACCCTGAGGACACCCCGCTTCTCTTCTTTCTCACCTCCCTCTAAACAATATCTCTAAACATAGTGCTCAATGATCGACTTTGGAAGGCTGAAGTTGAGTGAACCCATTAGGATTTAAATCTTTTGGATCCAGTTTTGTGTTACGGATGCTCTGTAGTCATAAAATTAGATGAGAGCTACATCATCCGAATGTATTATTCTGCTCTTCTGTCCAGTGTATTGTTTATTGCAGCAGAGTTTCAGGAATCTATCGTTTTCTGTAGGGAATTTAGTTTTCGCAAACGGGCGCTGTCAGCTGATGAGGAAGGCTGTTCGGAGCTAGCAGACTCGCTGCAGCACCTGACTTTGTCGGAGTTTCTTAAAGAGTATGTTTCAGTTGTCTAATGAATATTTGCCTGTAAAATTATCATCTGTCTAACTTTAATCCTATTAAGTAACATTTTAACATCCATACTGGAAATAATCTCCCATTGAGGCCATTTATATGAAGCTTTGGTATTGGAACAGATTTGTTGCTGTTACGTTGGTCAATTTGTTTCAGCAGTTTAATGACAGAAGAGAAACTGCACTGTTTTCAAACTCATTGGCATGATCAGGATGATTTGATGAGAGACACAGGCTCATTATTTACCACAAAGAAGTGGAATCTTTCCCCTATTTATCATCATTCACCTGGGCCTGAGATTCTGGTGATTCATTGAAAAAAAAGTATTGATCCTAGCCCAGACAATGGACTAAGACTTTTGCAAAAGTTCAAATTGCCCATTTAAAAAAGATCACAAATGTTGAGATAAAATATCTGATTATATTGCTATTGTCCTGAAAGTAAATGGTGAATTAATGGACGAATCAAACACTGAATTGGTTGACAAAGCATCTACTGTACTTAAACTCGCTGAAATAATTTTATTTTTCTGTTTTGCTGAGTGAATTCACAGTAGCTGATTAAAAAAATCTGACATTATTGACTTCATGTAAATGGCTTTATTGTAGGCCTGACTGCACCGCAACCAAAGCATTAATACAAATCGAGTATCAGAGTATAGTTTTAGAACTGCTATTGGTACTGCAGTAACTAAATGTTTGTAGAGCAAAAACGGTATCCAACATTTGCAGAAAATGGCTGAATGAGCAACCAAATATTAAAAATAGTTCCACCATTTTTTTTGCTAATGTACAATGGAATTATTCAGTCTTATTAAATTCTGAGGGCAGAAGGAGACTATTCTGCCTTATTGTGCCTGTGCTGACTCTGAAAAGAACAAACTGTTTCAATAAATAATCCTGTTTATCATTGGAATAAGTTTAACCAGCAAGATACATGAACCACTGTTGCTGGCAGGTATCTTACAACTTTTGTCCTGGGACTTGTCTGTGCCAGAGAGATGCCCTTTGCCAGAGTGGTGCCAAAGCTGGGCCATTTCTCTGTCGTTTTCCAATATGCTTTCATAAGCTCCTTGTAAGCTGTTAGATACCTACTATTCTCAGTGGTTCAGCTAACTTGTTGGTTGGGAATTCTATTGGGATAGAAATGGAAGGGTTATTTATTGAAATAATTGCCCAAGCTTTGGATACAGATTTACAAATTCTTTAAGTATCAAATATTGAATAATGGTAAACAGCTCCACCCCTTCAACCAATGAGAGAGGAGCAGGTGACTTGTAAATTGTTCAACTTGGTTAGCTTGGGATTACACCAGAGCAATAATATAGACCTGTGTAGCTGGGAATCATGGGGGAGGGGATGGAGAAGTGCAGAATTGGACATTACCCAATTATGGTTGGTAGTTCCAAGTGGTCACCAGCTGACTCAAGAAGAAATGACCTGTGTTGGTCAGAAACTAGCCAGGCATTAACTCTAGTCACGCTTTACTACCCAGGACAAGGCTAGAGGAAGCACCAAGAGCAGTTCCACTGTGGCTGCAGTCTCCATGTTTTTCCAGTGCGTCTCCTAATATTTGTCTCAGATCTCTTAACTAGATCTCCCATGCTGGAGAATGACTGCTAAGTGGTCTAAGTCAGAGGTTGGCTCTTGGTGGTCTGGGTTTTTTCAATTTCAGGGCCAGGCATCCTTGCTGTGCAGGAATAGAGGAGTCTGATATGATAGAGAGTGGGGTCAGCTATGTGGTATTTGATTTATCACACGGATAATATAGTTCCATATGAGTGATGTGAATATTAACCCCTCTGGCATCACTCCTACTTTTGGAATGAGTTGGCATGAAGGTGCCAGACCCAGCTCAAATCTAGTGCAGTCTGGCTACCATTTTGAGGTTTAGAGAGTTTCCTGGCATATCTTTATTCTCCTTGCAGGAGTTCCCCCAACAGGCTGTGTGTAACCATTGTGTAGTGAGGAGCTACCAGGAAATCAGATGGCCTGCACACGTGCAGTTGTTCATATCATTACCCAGAGAACTTGGTAGTTTTGATAGTTCAGCTCTTTAGTCCTGAGGCACTCCTGTGCCAGAGTAATGCCCAGGCTGGACCAGCTAGCTCCTGTGTGCAGTCTTAGGAACTGATCAAGACAATAGCAGATGGTGGTGGTGGTCGGAACAGGATCTGAACCTATTTGTGTTAAGGAATAGCAAGCGCTTTGCTGTCCACCAGCCTGATGTGAGCTCACGGTCTATGTAGCTTGCAACAAAGCAGTTTGTTCAATAATATTATAAGCAGTAGGAGGCTGTTTGAGTTCAACACTGGTTCACACTACCATTGCACTAAGCTTTGTATTCACCAGGCTGTGTTCCAACATTTTATGGCAACTCCATTAAGCAGAGGGACTGGCTGGATCAGGGAAAGCATGTTAACCTTTCACAGGGATTTGTAGCAACTGAATTATGCTTAAATCAACACAATGCAATACTTGTTAAATGTAAGACCATATGTCCTTGCAGGTCCTCACTAATTCTCAATCAAGAGCATTGGTCAACAAATGCTCGTGATTATTTAATTCCAGCCACTTATAAAATTAGTTTAAAAAGCAAGGGGATAGAATCTAAGAATTAGAAGTGAAAAAGGAATTCAAGGAGAATTGTTTCACAAAATGGTAATGGGTACCTGGTGTAGATTTACCAGGAATGGCTATTGAATCAAATAATAATAAAAAGATAATTGGATGCATTTCTGGAGAAAGGAGGGATTGAGGTATATGATGAGTAGGCAGG